TTGAGGGAATGTTTGCGTAGAAAGGCTGCAGAGAGCTGGAATCCCTCCTGGCAGACTGAAGCAGGCTGTATGAGGCAGACAGCTGATTGGACACTCAGCTGAAGCTGTAGGAAAAGTACAATGTGCCTCCTTTCCTCAGGCTACAGCGCTCCCAGTGGTTTCCCCTCCTAAGCCGGGTGTAGCAGCGTCCCACTTCGTCATCAAAGAGAGGATCCTGGTCGTAAACTCTGAGCTCCAGGCGATCGTTGGCCCGGGCGTCGGAGTAGGAGAAGGTTTGTGACCAGTAGGGGTTTGGGTTGTTCCGGATAACGTTGGTTTCACCCAGATAACGGGAGACGCAGTAGACCTTCACATAGCCGTCTGCTTCGCTTACACCCTTTCGCAGACCTCTAGCGCTGAGGCGAGACACCCTTAGGTCTGAGAGGGCCACGCCCACACAGCAGAGCAGCAAGACGAGCAGAGGAAGGCTGGAGGCCATGACTTCAGGACGCTGCAAGCAGAAGATCAAGGAGTTAGAGAAGAACCTTCCTGATGCACTCAGCATCTGCTTGATTCAGCTCTATTTCACTGTCTTTGAGGTGGAAGTCAACAACACAGCAGGATGAACAGTGGGGGAACCATCTGACAGCATGAAGTAGGCTAACAGGAGATGTAAAGACCAGACTAGCATATCTGAAGAAGCCAGTGAAGGTGGCCTGGCTGTGGGAGCAGCTGGAGGAGCAGCTTGGTCACTTCTGAGGCTGAGATCAGCCCAAAGGTGAGGAGGAGATGTGGAGGTCTTACCTGCAGCTGTGATGTCAGATCTAAGCTCAGGTGTGTCTGCAGCTCCTTATAAACAGCCCAGCAGAGGGAGGAGGCTGCTTTATGATGGCTGCTCTTATCAGTCCTGTTCTTTACTGCATCTGCTGCATCTTTTGATCACGTCCTCTAGGAACAGAGATCACTTTGATAAAAACCTTCCATCTTTATTGTTCCTGGTGGTTCTGACCCTGACCTGCAGCGCTGCCACGCTTACGACCATCAGAGAAAGAATAATGTTGATGGCGTTTATCTGGAGCACGATCCTAGAAATGAAGCCAGACTTTGATTTGGAAAAGCAAACGTTGCCTTTCTGCATTGA